CAAGGATTTGTGAGTTCCTCACACAATCCAGCCTGGTTAAACCCAGGATGGATCGTAGGCAGGCTAGACAAGCAGTCACACACAGTCACACACACAGACACACACACAGATACACACAGATACACAAACAGTCACACACACACAGATACACACACAGATACACACAGATACACAAACAGTCACACACACACACACAGATACACAAACAGTCACACACACACACAGATACACAAACAGTCACACACACACACAAACAGTCACACACACACACAGATACACAAACAGTCACACACACAGTCACACACCGTGACACACCGTGATACACACACAGACACACACACACACACCGTGATACACACACTGATACACACACACACCGTGATACACACACACACCGTGATACACACACACACACCGTGATACACACCGTGATACACACCGTGATACACACCGTGATACACACCGTGATACACACACACACACAGTCACAGACACACAGATACACAAACAGTTACACCCACAGTCACACATACAGACACACAGAGACACACACACAGACACACACACACACCGTGATACACACACACACCGTGATACACACACACCCCATGACACACACACACACCATGACACACACACACACCCTGATACACACTGATACACACACACCGTGATACACACACACACACACAGTCACACACACAGACACACACACACACTGATACACACACACCGTGATACACACACCATGATATACACACACGCACTCTGTGGTACACACACACACTGATACAACAACAACAACAACCGCCATTCGCCACTAAGTGGCGGTGACGTCACCACGACGCTTGTGCCAGGCTATGTGCACCCTGAGGCCACGTGAAGTGTCGAACGCCCGCTGGCAGGAGGTCACGGGGCAGACCCAGGTGCCACGGGTCGACTGACTGAGATGACTGGCTGATGCACCACCTGTGCCCCCTACTGTGCCAACCTGCTGTGCTTTAGCCACCCGGAGCTCCGCTCGCTGTTGTGAGCGTCGCTCCTCCGCCCTCCGTTGTTGTTGGAGGGCGACTGCCTCCAACTGCCCAGTAGCATCCTTCACGAGCCTCCTCCACAGAGGCCGATCTTGACACCGCTGGTACCAGTCATCGGCAAGTCCACTCAGCTCCACGTCCTCCTGTACCACATCACTCCATCTCTTCTCTAGCCCGTGCCGCGCCCGCTTAGCCCCCTCAATCCGGCCAAACAAAAGCTGTTTCGGCATGCGGTGGCTGGGCATGCGGGCTACATGACCCAGCCATCGCAGCCTTGCCTGCCGGAGGAGCTCACCGATGGGACCCTGCCCAGATCTTTCAAGGATTTGTGAGCCCCTCACACAATCCAGTCTGGTTAAACCCAGGATGGATCGTAGGCAGGCCAGCCTAAATGTTTCTAACCGGCGAAGATGTTCCATTAGGGGGGTCCACGTTTCGCAAGCGTAGAGAAGGGAGGGAATGACCGTGGCCGAGAAGACCTGAAGCTTAGTGCGGAGCGACAGACCAGGTAGCTTCCACACAGCGTTACGCAACCGATGAAAAGATATTGCCGCTCGACTGATTCGGAGTGAGACCTCTGCTGTTAAACTGGAGCCAGTCATAAGCACACTGCCCAGGTATGGGAAACTCTCCACTCTCTCCACAACTGCCCCATCACCGATTGGGAGTTGTGGGGGTGGAGTGTCCGATGGTACAAAATACCCAGGCAGGTGCTTAGTTTTGGTGGGGCTGATGGTAAGGCCCCACCTCTTAGTGGCACGCTCCAGTCTCAGCAGCAGCGTCTCCAACTCCTCCTCTGACTGAGCAGCTATTACCAAGTCATCAGCATACATAACGTGGTTGAGCAGTAGGGAGCCATCCCTTGACCGCACCCGGGCATCGATTAGCCTCCCATTATATCTGTACCATATGGAGATTCCCCCGGTACAGCTATTGAAGGCTTCACGAACTACGTGGTCAAAATAGATGTTAAATAATGTGGGAGCCAGAGGACATCCCTGTCGCACCCCAAGGTGTACAGGGAATGGCTCTGACTCCCGGCCAGGTAGTTTTACCCGGGCCCGCTCACCATCATGAAGGTCCTTAATGATCGTGAGCAGAGGGTCAGGTACTCCAAAAGCACGAAGAACGACCCAGAGCCCAGGCCTACTGATGGTATCATAGGCCTTGACCAGGTCAATAAAGCAGAGATGTAGGTCTTGTTGGAATTCCCTACACCTCTGCTGTAGCAGACGGACAGAAAATATGGCATCTGTGCAGGACCGCCCTTTCCTGAAACCGCATTGGGGCTCCGCAAGCCTCTCCTCAGCGTGCCTGGCAAGGCGATGCTGAATAATCCTTGCCAGGACCTTTCCCGGCACACTGAGGAGTGAGATGCCCCTGTAGTTGTTACAGTCTGTGCGGTCCCCCTTCTTAAAAAGGGGGACCACCAGGGCATCCTTCCAATCCTGCGGAACCCGTCCAGTGGTCCAGACTGTTGTTATGATGTCATATAGGGCAGTCTGTGCACAAACGCCACCCTCCCTCAGCATTTCGCTTGGGAGATCATCTCTGCCCGCTGCCTTTCCTGGTCTCAGACTCCGGATCGCCTTCAATACTTCATCAGCAGCTGGCACCTCAGCCAGCCACTCACAGGGGGTGACTTCATCCAATATTTGAGGCACCGCAGCCTCAGCAGGGTCATCCTCACTTTGTGCCACGATGTTTTCCTGGCTGAGGGATTTTCCCTCCCCCAGGACCTCACAGAAATGCTCAGCAAATCTGCGAACCTGTTCCTGGGGGTCGGAAATTGGATCACCGTTTTTTCCCCTAATGATGGTAATAGGTGTGGCGCTGCAGGTTACTTTTTTGATGGAGTTAAATAGAGATTTGTGATCACGGGCCACTGAGGCAGACTCCATCTCCTCAGCAACCCGCGACCACCACCCATCCTTGCAGCGCCTCACGGCTCTCCGAACCTCCGAGCGAAGGCTGTGGTAAGCCTCCTCATTCTCTGACGTGGGATTCTGTAGCCGATGACAGTGGGCCTGTCGCTTTTTCTCAACCATCCTGAGCAACTCCTCTGTCATCTAGGGTGTCTGGGGAGGTCTGGACCGCGTATCCAAAGCAGCCATTGCAGCTGCATGAGTCACAGTCCTAAACCTCGCCCATTTACCCTCGACATCAGGAGGAGTCGGGGACGATGCCAATCCCAGCCGCAAGCGATGATGAAATTCTCGCTTGCAACTTTCATCAGATAACTGAGACCAGGCCACTTTAGGTTGGAATGGGGTCCTGGGTGTACACCCACCACCGGAGTGGAAGAATGGCAGGCGCATCTTACAGATGACTAGTCGATGGTCAGAGGGCAGATCAGCTCCACGGTAGGTCCTGGTGTCAAGGACATGGGCTCGCATTCGCTGGTCCGTCACTATGTAGTCCAGCAGATGTTCTTGCTTGGACCCGGCATGCATCCATGATGTTGTGTGGATGCGCCGATGCCGGAACAGCGTGTTGGTAATTACAAGCCCATGGGCTGCACAAAAATCTAGCAGCCTCCTACCGTTGTTATTGAGCTGATCTGGCCCATGCCCTCCAATCACTCCAGACCAGGTGCCAGTATCATGACCAACTCGGGCAATGAAGTCACCCAACATGATGACTCTATCCCGAGGGGCCACTTTAGCCAGCACCTGTGACAGGAGGTCATAGAAGGCATCTGACTCATCGGCTTTGCCTGCATCCCTCCACGGATGTTCATCTTCGGTGGGGGCATAAGTAACCACGACCACCATTCCTCGCCTCCGGTTGATGGGAAGGCGAGCCCAAAGTAGCCTGGGGCTTACAGCTTCCCACACCTCACCGCCACGCTCCCACACCCCCTTCATTCTTTTGTTCAAAAGAAGACCCACACCCTGTTGTTTGGCAGTCTGCTGCCCCGAGTAGAGGACTGTCCACCCCTCATGGTGGCAGGAGCCAGAGCCGGTCCACCGGACCTCCTGAATGCCGCATAGATCCAGGCGGTACCGGTCCAGCTCCCGACAGACTGATACACACACAGATATACACACACACACCATGACACAAATATTCCAGGGTTGAAGGTAATGCCCCCCAGACCTCTTAAGTGGCACGCTTCAGGTTCAGCAGCAGAGCCCCGAACTCTTCCTCTGAGCGATCACCAGATGATTGTTAATCAAAGCATCCGACTCATCGGCCTTGCGGTACCTGTGCAGCTCCCGAAGGAGGAGTGGCAGCCTCTCTTCCAAACACAACGGAGCCAGTCCACCGGACCCTCCTGTATTCCACAGAGGTCCAGGTGGTACCGGTCTAGCTCCGGACCGAGCGAGTGGCAGCCTCTCCTCCCCACACACACACACAAGAGAACCAGTCTACCGGACCTCATGAATAGTCTAGGCGGTACCGGTCTAGCTCCGGACCGAGCGAGTGGCAGCCTCTCCTCCTGTCGTTTACCAAGGTAAAGTCTGGGCTTCCCTCGCCCGGCGAGGGAGTCTCTGTCCCTCCGCCGTGGTGTTGTCTATGTGGAGTCTGTCTCTGTCTCTCTGTCTCCGTGGAGTCTGTCTCTCTGTCTCCGTGGAGTCTGCCTCTGTCTCCGTGGAGTCTGTCTCTCTGTCTCCGTGGAGTCTGCCTCTGTCTCCGTGGAGTCTGTCTCTGTCTCTCTGTCTCCGTGGAGTCTGTCTCTGTCTCTCTGTCTCCGTGGAGTCTGTCTCTGTCTCTCTGTCTCCGTGGAGTCTGTCTCTGTCTCCGTGGAGTCTGTCTCTGTCTCTCTGTCTCCGTGGAGTCTGTCTCTCTGTCTCCGTGGAGTCTGTCTCTGTCTCTCTGTCTCCGTGGAGTCTGTCTCTGTCTCTCTGTCTCCGTGGAGTCTGTCTCTCTGTCTCCGTGGAGTCTGTCTCTGTCTCTCTGTCTCCGTGGAGTCTGCCTCTGTCTCTCTGTCTCCGTGGAGTCTGTCTCTGTCTCTCTGTCTCCGTGGAGTCTGTCTCTCTGTCTCCGTGGAGTCTGTCTCTGTCTCTCTGTCTCCGTGGAGTCTGTCTCTGTCTCTCTGTCTCCGTGGAGTCTGTCTCTGGCTGTCTCTGGCGGTGGTCTCTGGGTCGTCTTGTGCCTTGTTGTCGCCTTCCCACGTTTAAGAATCGCCGTTATGAATTCTCACACGACGATCATGACGATGACGACGATGATGATGATGGTGACGATGATGATGGTGACCATGATGACGACGATGATGATGATGGTGACGATGATGATGGTGACGACGACGACGATGACGACATCGGCCAACTGGTTGAGCTGCTATCGTGTGCTATTGGCCAGGCTGCTTTACCGGCTGGCCGGCCGGCCGGCTGTCTGCCTGCCTGGCTGTGCCCGCCAGCGTTATTGATACTCCCGCTTGACGTTGGCCAGGCTGAAGGGGTCGTCCCCCTCGGCACCGCGGCGCTCCGCAGGCCAGAAGTGCGAAGCCGAGTCCAGGGCCTGCAGCTCCTGCTTCACCAGAGACGGAGGAGCGCCACCACCACCACCACCACCACCACCGCCACCACCGCCACCACCACCGCCACCACCGCCACGGTGGCCGCCACCGCTCACCGCTGCGCTCTCGGCTCTGCCGCTGTTGGCCCGCCGGCTCTTCCGACGCCCTTTCCCGAATCCCGTCTGGGCGGCTGTGCCGGCGTCGGCGTCGGCGTCGTCCGCGTCCGCGGCGATCCGCTTGGCCCTTTTCGCCGCCGTAGATTTGGCAGCGGCCCTCCCCCCCTTGGCCTTGCCCTTCGGGGGGGCCTTCCCGGCCTTCGGGGCGGCGCTCGTCTCCCCGGTGTGCCCCTTCTGGTGCCGGCGGAGGTGGGTGGACCTGGTGAACGTCCCCTGGCACACGGTGCACACAAACGGCTTCTGCCCGGCGTGCGACTCCTGGTGCCGCCGCAGCTCCCCGAGGCCGGCAAACCGAGCGGAGCAGACGGAGCAGCGCACCGCCCTCGCCGACGCCGGAGGCGACGCTCCGCCTCCTCCTCCTCCTCCTCCTCCTCCTCCGCCGCCTCCTCCGCCGATCCGGTGAAGCGCACGCCGGTGCCTCCCCAGCTGCCCCGACTCGGCAAACTCCCGCGGGCAGTCGGCGCAGGCGTACGGCCGCTCGCCGGTGTGCGTGCGCCGGTGCTTGCGCAGGTTGCCGCGGTCGGCGAAGCGCCGGCCGCAGTCGGCGCAGGCGTGCGGCCGCTCGCCGGCGTGCGTGCGCCGGTGCTTGCGCAGGTTGCCGCGGTCGGCGAAGCGCCGGCCGCAGTCGGCGCAGGGGTAGGGCCGCTCGCCGGTGTGCGTGCGCCGGTGCTTGCGCAGCGAGCCCGGCACGGAGAAGGCCCGGCGGCAGTCGGCGCACTCGAAGGGGCGCTCGCCGGTGTGCGTGCGCCGGTGCTTGCGCAGCGAGCCCGAGACGGCGAAGGCCCGGCCGCAGTCGGCGCAGGCGTAGGGCCGCTCGCCGGTGTGAGTGCGCCGGTGCTTCTCGAGGTCGCCCCGGTGGTCCGTGCCGTAGGGGCAGTCCCGGCAGCGGTGGCGCTTCGACGGCGAAGCCGAAGCCGAAGCCTCGCGGGGCGGTGGCGGTGGGGAGGAGGGGGCGGGGAGGGGCAGGAGCTGGGAGCACGCCGGGAGATCCATCGCTTTGTGCTGGTGGTGGTGGTGGTTGTGGTGGTGGTGATGGTGGTGGTGGTGGTTGTGGTGGTGGTGATGGTGGTGGTGGTGGTTGTGGTGGTGATGGGGGTGGTGATGGTGGTGGTGATGGTGGTGGTGATGGTGATGATGGTGGTGGTGATGGTGGTATGGTGGTGATGGTTGTGGTGGTGATGGTGGTGGTGGTGGTGATGGTTGTGGTGGTGGTGGTGGTGGTGATGGTGGTTGTGGTGGTGATGGTTGTGGTGGTGGTGGGGATGGTTGTGGTGGTGGTGGTGATGGTGGTTGTGGTAGTTGTGGTTCCGGGGGGATGGGGGGGGGGAGACTTGAAGGGGGCTGCAGAGAAGGACGGAGAATCAACAACTTAGTGATGGTGACGATGGTGGTAATGATGGTGGTAATGATGGTGGTGACGATGGTGATGGTGGTGATGATGGTAGTGACGATGGTGGTAATGATGGTGGTGACGATGGTGGTGGTGATGATGGTGATGGTGGTGATGATGGTAGTGACGATGGTGGTAATGATGGTGGTGACGATGGTGTTAATGATGGTGGTGACGATGGTGTTAATGATGGTGGTGACGATGATGATGGTGATGATGATGGTGATGATGATGGTGGTAATGATGGTGATGCCGTAAGCTGTTTCCACGTAACTCACTCGCCCACCCACCCACAGACCCAGCAGGTGCTGTCAATCCGGAGCCGGTCATGAGCACACTGCCCAGGTAAGTAGGAAACTCTCCACAACTGCCCCATCACCGATTGGGAGTTGTGGGGGTGGAGTGTCCGATGGTACAAAATACCCTGGCAGGTGCTTAGTTTTGGTGGGGCTGATGGTGTTGTATATATGCCCCCTTTCTCCATCTTAATATTAACAAGTAATTTTCCGATACATATTTCTATTGTTTAAAAATATATATAACGAATAAAAACAACACCAACCCAGGCCTCAGCATGGCACGTGGAGGTCATGAAAAGCCATTTGCCATGACCTACTGGTGACAGTTCACAAACTCCCAGGGTCAGAGGGAGCAGACAGAGCAGAGCACAGCGAATTGCAGGAGACGGACGTAAACGCAAAGGAGCCTAGGGTCACCAGGAGTACGCATTAGCCTAGACATAGTTAAGTAAAAAAAACTCATCCATTTATCCTGTGGTACTATTAAAGTAACGTTAAAGTTTGGGATTCCACGACAGAAGTGGGACATGGTCAATCTTCACACCCACTCCAATTGGCAGCCAGGCCACAAGCTATGTCAGTGAACCATCACCCGTCTATTAATTCAATATGAAATGTTATTTCCATATTTTAATAATTTCTATACAACTTGACCCGAAGCATATGACAATCAGAATTTTCCTAAGTCAAAATGAATTCTCTAACCTCCGGCCATAAGCGAATAATGAGCAGAGTTAAAATAAGGTTAAAGAGCACAGCAAAACTGCAAACGCAAGCAAAGAGCCGGGAAAAACCAACCCAGCCACAGCAACAGCAAGCCGGGGCTTAGCAGTGCCAGTGAATTGATTAGATGATAACTTCCAGGGTCAGAGGTCACAGACCAAGTGCTGAGCATGTTGACAAACACCAGAACACTCCAGGGTCGACACTCCTCACCACGGGGCCACCCCGCGCGAGCAGGAATAAGGGCGGGGGCTTGGAATGTCAGCGTGTCAGCGAAAACCCAAGCAAGTTTTTAAGTAAGATAAAACAATACATAATTTCATAAATAACGTTAATGTAACGCTATTCGCCGTAGACTATACTCCGCTTGCACAGCTTTGTTGAGCATGGGCTGCATGACTTGAGCGACGTTAAACCCAGGGTCAGAGAGAGAAAGAGATCCCGGCCGTCTTTGTCTCCCCGCAGCGCGGGGTAGGAGTGCGTATACGCTCGGGAAAACACCTTCCCTTGACAAGAGTCAAACACCACTAACGGAAAGCTGACACAGACCTTGGGTTACTTCCGAATCATAACTGTGGAACTTTTTAACCATTCCCTTGTGTGTCGGGGACATGATGCAGGGAGGGAAGCTTGCCCTCCCTCTCGCACCGGCAGACAGAGAGGCAGACAGAGAGACGCCTTCGACGATTTGTAACGTCTGTTTGTTTTTACATTTTGGTGTTTTATGGAAAGAGGAGGACAACAGAATATGCCGTAAATGACGCACACAAGGACACACACTGACACACGTACGGACACACACATACGGACAGATCATGACACAGCAAAATCGGAAGAACCTCCGCCTTGTGAGGAGGGTCCAAGTGAAGGGATTCTTGGCATAAAAGAGAAGGCTACAACACTGGGAACTCGGTTCGTCCGGAACTCAGCCGAGTTCGGTCGGCTCCCCGGAGCCGGCCCATGGGGCTCCACTCATCGGAGCTCGGCTGCCCATCTCATCTGCAGGCGGGCGAGACCCGCTTGACAGCTCAACTCGCCCCTACGTGGGTCGCTGTTTGGCGACGAGGCTACGAACGTGCGTCGCCGGCGCCGATTGCGCAACCGGGTCAACCCTCAACACCACCGTGCAGGCTGCGAGCGAGCTGTGGGCGCCATCTACCGGCCGAGTTCCGCCACTGCAACAGCGTGTGTCAACTCGGTCATCCGAACCAGTTCACCACGGTGACAGGAGAATCGACCGATACGCATGACGCGCACCGCCCCTACTCGCCACACGACAACCAGGCGTCTGTTTGACGTAAAGAATCAACTCCGAACACTGACTATTCAGAACAATTTATATCAGGAACAAGGACAATCCCAAAACGAGAAGCATCTAAACGTGAAGGCATCGCTACAGATCGGGTGATGATGGTGTGTTCGTTTTACAAGTATAATAATTTCCTCCTTGATATTTAGTGGGCTGTACTCTTAATCGCATAAATTCCCAACAGATCCATCAATACGAATTGATTCTTGACACCTTCTTCCGCAGAGCCACGCTCACGTGGGGAATGGTGTGTCCCACCAGATCCTTATCAGGCGATCTGGTCCACAATTAATTAAACTTGGTATAAGATAAAGATCTTGGGGAAAAAAGTGCACACCATCGCCTGCCCTTACTCCAAGCCATTTCTGTAGTCATATAATCTTGCCGATGGATCTATTGAGATTTGTGCCTTTGAGAATAATAACTGTTTTTGATAATCTTTTTTGTATGATATCGCCGTATAATTTTTAAAGTACCTTTCGTTCACAATCGCCGCACGTACTCGCGTACTCTACAGAATACTCAACTGTTCCGTGACCCAATGTGCTAACAACGTGATAAGGGTTGCATATGATCAATAAGGAGTGCGGTACTGCGGGAACAATTCAAGTATAATCATTGATTATAAAGTTAAGGTTTTTGTTTGAATAGCTTGCAAGCATGTTTTAACGACTCTCTCTCTCACTTACAACAATCGCCTTATGCGGGATCCATGTGCCGTTGTCAAGGTGAAATCGTACAGTCGTTGATAATACTGTATTGATACCGTGTTGAAGTTCCGAGATTGAGAGTTCACATACTATATTATAGTTAAGGTTTAATTAGAAAATAAATTGATTAATGCAGAAGTGGTCGTGTGATTCTTTCCGGAAATGTTTGCATAAGATCTGATTCTGCGACGAGATATGACCCTGGGGACCTAAAACATAAACACTAAATTTCGATTTAAAGCTTTCGTGACTGCAAGGATTCATCTTCTTTGGTTCTTTCGGTAAAGTCACGTAGAATGAGAAGAAAATAATACATTGATAAAATAAAATAACACAATAATATTCTCACGACGTTTCGGCCACAACACAAGCGGCCTTCATCAGGTGAAGGGGACGAGACTGTCTGGAGGACAGCGCTCCAGACAATCTCGTCCCCTTCACCTGATGAAGGCCGCTTGTGTTGTGGCCGAAACGTCGTGAGAATATTATTGTGTTATTTTATTTTATCAATGTATTATTTTATTCTCATTCTACGTGACTTTACCGAAAGAACCAAAGAAGATAAACACACTAATCCATACTCAGTAAATGTTCATATCATTCTCGCATTAATCCGCCAGACCATGAGTAACCTCCCTGCCAAATAGGGTCAAGAGCGATTTCAAGCAATTAAGCCGAGCAGTAGTTAAAAGATTTGGGGAATACTCCACACTATCTGAAGGACTGAACGCGGCAAAATTGATGACTCAGCGTGCGGACGAAGACCCACGAGATTATCTCCTACACCTCAAGAGAGCAAATTCCGCAGGTGACGTGGACAACGCCCAGGAAGAAGGGAAAATATTAAAAGTTATGTTCTTCCAATCACTAAGACCTGAAAGAATGAGGATAGTAGCAATGATGCTAGACCCCGAGACTGCCTCCCTACACCAGATTGAAAGCAAGGCCCGCACGGCCTGGGTGAACGGACGGAGAACCACCAGCACAGCCAAAACACACATCGTCACCAAAGATAAAGAACGCCTCGATCTGGGGAGAAACGAATTTCCAGGAAATAATAACAGCACCACACGGAACGAACATGAAACCCCCAGGAGAGGGCGCCAAATCCACTAGAATCAACACCCATCAGCAACACGCTGGACAACGTTTCACGGGGCGGGGGGGGGGAGAGAAGTGAAGCCAGAGGGACCTGGCACCCACGGCCGCCACAGCCCTGGAATACAGAAGAGGGCGGCTCTTGGAACTATGGAGGATGGAGAGCGAGGGACGGATCATACCTAAGAGGCCGACGCCCACCGAACCAATCACCATATTGTCTCCCACTGCCGCCTCCGCTAGCAATGGGGCATAGACCACAGGCAGCCAACAGGAGTCGATACACGTAGGCTTTCGCGACCAATATTATTCATAATAAAGGTTTTTGGGTTAGATCGCGTTTACTTATAAATGTGTCGTAACCCTCCACCACCCGACACGGCCAATCAGCAAAAATAAAGTGTCGCGTTGACAAAAGACAAAAATAGTTCACTACTTTAGCCCACCGGTGTGTTGAAGAGTGAATCCACATTTACAGTTTGAGTAGCACGACGTTTCGCTGGTAAATACATCCAGCATCATCGGGCACCACACGGAACC